ATCTCCATCTTGTCTAATTTGATTTGCTAAAATTTCTAGTACAGTTATAAATAGGAGTGGGGATAGGGGACAACCTTGTCATGTTCCTTTCTTTATTTCAAGAGTTTTGTCAGTTTGGATGGTTATGGCTACAAATTGGAAGAGTGGTGTGTGTGTGTTTCAGTTGTGAAATGGAGAAACAAATTATAGAATGTGGCACTGATGGAAAAACTAATTAACCAAGTAAAAAGTATTAAAAATAATGGAGATCATTACTTTTTAGCACCACGGCTTCCCTTTATTTCTTATGTCAATTTAAACAGACATATCGCTACTCATATGGATTTACAGAATGATGACATCACATGCTGTTTTAGCTTCTTCTGCACTGATTTCCTACATTTAATTGTATGGTCAATTTTGATTTTCAGAGGATTGGCAATCCTGTTCATGTTTGTTTTTTGTTCATATTAAAACCAATAAAAATTATTGCAAAGGGAGAATTAAGAGACAGCGTGGATTTCTCAAAACCAAGTCCTACCAGACTAATCCTCTTTTCTTTTTTCATTGAATTCCAAGTTTTATAGATGAGGGGAATGCTGTGGATATAGTGTGTCTTGGATTGATACAGCTTTGGTCAAGGTTCCCCTTGATATTTTTGCAGACTGAAACTCTAAGAGGACTCACCAATGATTTCCTTCATCCTGGAGAGAAGAGACCAGTCGGGTGCTGCAGGGCTCTGTCCTGGGCCCAAAGTTCTTCAATATCTTGACAAATGACTGGGATGACGGAGTAATGGGGATGTTCATCCAATCTGCAAATGTCACCAAGGTGGGAGGGATGACTAATATCTCAGAAGACAGAGCCAGGACCTTAACAGCACATGCTACATGTCATATTTTTTTAATTGTTTATTAATTTTAATACAGACCAATTCACAGTCAACATAAAACATTTGGAAAAAAGAAAAGAGAAGAAAATATATACACACAGATGCATATATAGATGAAACTAAAGTAGGTCTAAAACACTGAACTGAAACAATAAACACAAACCAATACAATAAACACTGACAAAAACACAAAAAGGCTCTGACCTCCATTCCAAACAATAATGAAAGAAATATATTATATTAACACTACAGATCCAACCAAACAAACTTAGTAAAGTTACTACTAACCATAACTACAAATTACATTGTTAGAATTCTTATTGTTCAAAAACTCCATCAATGGTTTCCAGTATTTCAAAACAATTAATAATTGTCAATTGGTTTATCCTTTAAAACCAATGTTAATTTGGCGATCTGGCCAAATTTAGTAGATTTAACTGTCCATTCTTCCATCGTTGATGCTTCAGTCCACTTCCATGTTTCAGCAAAAAGTATTTTTGCTGCTGTTATCAAACATATAAGAAGTTGCCCATATTTATTCTCCAATTCTTTATCCATAATACCCAGCAAAAATGTTTCTAGTGACAATGCAAACTGTACCTTTACATTTTTTTGAATTAAGATGTAAATCTTAGACCAATAACTTTTCTCTTTCTTACAAGTCTGTCACGTAACCAAAAAAGAGCTTTCCTTATCCTAAGAACCCCAACATTGATTTGAAATATTTTAGATATTTTCATATAGTGATTTAGAGACAGATACCTTCTAATCATCATCTTATTTTCTTTTAGGTTATCACACAAGGTAAATTTTATATCTTTAGTCTACATTTTCCCCATACTTCCATTTTAACATTATGCCCAAAATTTTGGGCCCACGTTATAACTTCCGAATATAACTTCCACAAAATGAGCTCATGCTTGCTGGAGATGTTAAAAACAATAATAAGGGCTATTGTTGGTTATGTATGTAGCAAAGAAAAGCAAGGAAATGGAAGGACCACTGCATAGGGAGGTCAGAGATACAGGTAGTATAGGAATACCTGGCCATTTGTTGGGAGTGCTTTGATTGTTGTGTCTTCCAACTTTATCATTCTATTCTAGATTCTACTAATGGCAATCTTGGGAATAATCAAATCCATGGAAGTTAAACCCATGAATGTTGAGGGCTGCCTATATGGTTTCTTCCTTGTGAGACTTTTTTTGATGTGAATGTAGTTTTGCACTCTGACTAAAGCTCTTTCCACATTTGCTACATTTATGTGGTTTCACCCCTGTGTGGGTTCTTTCATGTGAACGTAGATGTCCACTATCACTAAAGCTCTTTCCACATTCCCTGCATTTATATGGTTTCTCCCCTGTGTGAGTTCTTTGATGTATACGTAGATTGCCACTCTCACTGAAGCTCTTCCCACATTCCATGCATTTATATGGCTTCTCCCCAGTGTGAGTTCTTTGATGTTTAGTACGTGATCCATAATCACTGAAGCACTTTCCACATTCTGTGCATTTGTATGGTTTCTCCCCTGTGTGAGTTCTTTCATGTAAACGTAAACTGTGGCTATAAGAGAAGCTCTTTCCACATTCCACACATGTATATGGTTTCTCCCCTGAGTGTGTTCTTCGGTGGGCATGTAGATGTGAATTCTGACTGAAGCTCCTTCCACATTCTATGCATTTGTATGGCTTCTCCCCTGTGTGAGTTCTTTTATGTGACTGTAGACTCCTGTGAGTGGAGAAGCCCTTTCCACATTCCATGCACTCATGTGGCTTCTCCCCTGTGTGAGTTCTCTGATGCTTAATACATGCTCCATAATCACGGAAGCATTTTCCACATTCCATGCATTTATGTGGTTTCTCCCCTGTGTGGATTCTTTGATGTGTGTGTAGATGTCCACTCTGACTGAAGCTCTTTCCACATTCCATGCATTTATATGGTTTCTCCCCTGTATGGATTCTTTGATGTCTCTGCAGATTTCCCCTTTGACTGAAACTCCTACCACATTCTTTGCATTTATATGGTTTCTCCCCTGTGTGTGTTCTTTGATGTTTAGGACATGTTCTATAATCACTGAAGCACTTTCCACATTCCATACATTTATAGGGTTTATCCCCTGAGTGCATTCTGTAATGTAAGTTTAACTGAGATTTATATTTGAATATTTTTCCACAAACAGGACAGTTTACTTTTCTTTTCCCTTTTTGCTTTTCCTGAGGAATCCCAAGTTCACAAATATCCTCCTTTAGAGAAGCAGAGGAGTTCTTCCCATTCTCTGACTTGTTTTCTTTTTGTCTTTCCAATCCCCCTTGATTTCCAAACTCCTCCTTGTTCTCAACAACCTTAGTGGTTTTCCACGACAACACAGAGGGCTCCACAAAATTCTCCTTCTCTTGTTCATTACCTGCTTGAGAAAGAAGAAGATTAACATAGATATACAGGATCTCTGTAATCAAGACCAATCACTATTTTTAATCCAATGTTCTTCCCTTTCCTCTCAGCCAAGAACCTCTATTCCATTTAGGTCAATTTCCTTTGTTAACTGCACCAGCCACAGATTTCTGTCATTTCAGGAACTATCCACTGAAGGCAAAAATATTCCTTACCTGGAGAGACCACGTTCCCATCACCCTCCATCCTGACTTCCTTGCAGAGAGCCCGATGGCCTCAACCTAGGAGATGCCACTCCTCTTCAGTGATATCCATGGCCACCTCTTCAAAGTAGACCAGTAGCTGAAAGAGAGAAAATGACAACACTACTCTCATCACAAATAATCTCTTTTACTCTGTTCCTAATAATTTGGACAGCTCTTTATGTGATTTTTAGTTCCGCTTTTTCCTCCTCAGGATTCATGACATGAGAGAAAGAACAGTGTGCACCAGTTACCGCATTATTTTCACTCCACCCAAAAAGAAAGAGACTGGATTTGGCCTCTGGTGCTGCTGAACCACCTTTGAGGAAGGAGGGGAACCAAGGCCATTTTGTGGATTCTTACAGTTTCTCAGCTCCTAGAATAGAATCAGAGAATCACATATTTGGAAGAGATCTCAAGAGCCATCAAGTCCAAGCCCCTGCCATGCAGGAATACACAACCAAAGCGCCCCCAACAGATGACTGTCCAGCCTAGAATCAGAGCTGGAAGAGACCCCTGAAAGGTGACCATCCAGCCTCTATTTAAAAACCTCAGAAGAAGGAGACTCCATTACTCTCTAAGGGAGTGTGTTCCTCCTAATGTTGAGGTAGAATCTCTTTTCCTGTACTTTGCATCCACTTCTCCTGTCCTAGCCTCTGGAGCAGCCCCTCAAATATTTAAACAGGTTATCATATCACCTCTTAACCTTCTCTTTTCCAGGCTAAATATAACCCTAAGTAGCTCCACAAAGGGCATGGTTTCCAGACCTTTCACCATTTTGATTGCCCTCCCCTGGATGCCCTCCAGCTTGTCAACATCCTTTTTGAATTGTGGAGCCCATAAATGGATTCAGTATTCCAGGTGAGGCCTGACCAAAGCAGAATATAGGGGTACTATTATTTCCTTTAATTGATGCAGCCTAGAATCGCTCCTGCACACCACATATGACCTCAGGGGCCCAGGTGATGTTAAAAGGTGATACAGAAATGAATTCAATGAAATAAATAAATAAAGGGAGGGGGATCTGAGCAGAGCTAGAAAACAAGGTCAATGAACATCCCTTTGGAAAGAGATAGCTAATGGGGGAATTGTCACCTTTATGGCTCTTTTGGTTTCATTTATGATCTGCTGACTTCTGCCTTTGGGGAGCAGTAAATGGAACACACACAAAAAATGGTTTTCCACCTTCCCATTTTGCTTTCCTTCTAGAGTCTCTTTTCTTCCATTTCCAGAATCAAAGTCTAAAAATGGTAGCAAAGAGACACTAGAATCCTCAGAGGTTTATCTACAATCTTAAAAAAAAAAATCAAAGGATATTGGGATTGACTTCCAGGGAAGGGGTGTGGTGAAAACGCACTCCCATCTCTTTTATAGGAAAAATTAAGTGTTCTTTGCCGTTTAATGGCTAAGCTGTACCTATTTGGACTTCTCTCTAGTCACCTTCTGGTTATCTGGGCTTTTAACCCACGAATAAGACTACAGTCTACTTAAGTAGAAGAGCTAATGTGGTGTAATGGCTTGGATGCTGGACTAGGACTCTGGAGGACAGAGTTCAAATCCCTGCTCAGCCATAGAAACCCACTGGGTGTCGTCTTGGGATAGATCTGCCAGGCACTTGCGGACATCAGACCCATTCTCACAGACCCATCGCTATGAGAGGAGGGCAAGCGCCTTCTCCTCCTACTTGAAAAGCCTCCACTAAGTCAAGGAAGGATACCATGGACATTATTAGTCATTCATAGTCTTTCCCCAGGAAGTGAGTCAAACACAGAACTCTTTGTGGATGCAACAGGGTTGGAACTCCACACAAGCTGGTCCATCGAGGCACAGGAGTCCAGCGAGAACAGGGCAACCTCAACCTCTTGCACAGAATCCTGGCTATTTAGATTCTGTCCAAGAGCCTCAATGAGGTAGAAGAGGAACCCTCTGGACACATGAAATAACCTGCAGTAAAGCAACTGGGGCAAGAAATAATAATAATAATAATAATAATAATAATAATAATAAATTTTATTTTTACCCCGCCTCTCTGAGCACAATCGAGGCAGCTAACAAAAGTTAAAATTACAAATTATATAATAATAATAATAATAATAATAATAATAATAATAATAAAATGTATTTATATCCCGCTTAATGAAATCAATCCAAGCGGCTTACAATAAAAGAAAATACATACATCAAGTTCCCAATTATCCCATCTCCCAATACATCCTAATACCCTCCCTCCCTTAAAACAGTATTAAATCAGACATAGGATTAAAACATATTAGATTTTAAAAAAACAGTAGTTAAAAACATAAAAGAAACAAGATAAGATGAATAAAAGAAACCAAGTAGCGGGAAAGTGGCAAGAATCATAATTGGGGAGAGGACCGGGTAGCGGGAATTTTTTGAGGCCGGGACATCTATTCTGGAAAGGCCTGCCGGAAGAGATCCGTCTTAACAGCCTTTTTAAAGCTGTTTAAAGATGTAATCAGACGGATCTCATCCGGCAGGTCATTCCACAAAAATAAGCCAGCCCCTCCTACCTTTAACAAACAGGAGAAAAGAGGACACACCATTATCACATCTGTATTCTTTGAGTTGAAGAGGTCATACTATGCTCAAAAATAAAGGGGTTAGACTGGCTAGCCCTTAGTCTCGCCCAACTCTATGATTCTACTAGCATAATTCAAGAACATCAGGGATCTGGAACTTTTCTCACTAACAATTTTTTATCTTTTTTTAAAAAAAACAACAACCATACAAGCTTCATAAAGTGAGTCATGGATTGATGCAAAGAAGATCCTTACCCAGAGAGGCCCCGTTCTCAGATGCTGAAAGAAGGAGAAACAACATTCCCCATTCAGAAATAATCTCTCCTCGGAGATGTTCCCTTTCATAGGGCGTTATCACACAGGGAGTTGCAGGGAGAAAGTGGAAATAAACGGGACGAGCGGAATACTTTAATTTATGGGATTTGTCCCATTCCACCTCGTCTGATAACTAAATTCGAATTTAAAAGGGGGTTAATTCGAACGAAAACCTGATCTTTTCAAATCCTCAAAAATCCCGAAAATGAAAAGATCAGGTTTTCGTTCAAATTAACCCCCTTTTAAATTCGAATTTAGTTATCAGACGAGGCGGAACGGGACAAATCCCGTAAATTAAAGTCTTCCGCTCGTGCCCGTTTATTTCCACTTTCTCCCCGCGACTCCCCGTGTGATAACGTCCATAGAGAGAGAGCCTCACCATATGCCTCTTTCTTCCCATGACTCTAAGCAGGGCTAAAAAATTTGAAAAAGCAAAGCAGCAGCAGTGCCAAAATGCAAACTCCCTTACTATCTTACAGTGAGAAATTACTTTAAATTCACCCATGGCTGTTTCTTGCAAGACTTGCTCTAAACATCAACATTCAAAAATGCTAGGGGATCTGAGAACTGCCAGTTTGCATAATTATTCCCCCAAACGTCTACTTATCGATGGACATATTTATCCTTTTAAGGATATTCACAAAATTTGACCAAACTAAAAGTAGTTCCTTATTCCCGGTTCTTTTTGTTCTTGTTGTTGTGGTGCGCCTTCATAGTTGTTTCCAACTATGGTGATCCTAAGACAAACCTATTATGGGGTTTTCTTGGCAGGATTTCTTGAGTTGTACGAAAATTCAAGTGACAGCTAACTCTCCTTCAGGTGAATAAAGACACAAAGTATGAGTGTCCCTTTTTTTGTTTTGTTCTTCGTATGCCTTCAAGTCATTTCTGACTTATTGTGACCCTAAAGAAAACCTACCATAAGGTTTTCTTGGCAAGTTTCTTGAGAAAGTGTTTGCCATTGCCATCTTCTGAGGCTGAGAGAGTGCGATGTGCCCAAGGTCACCCAGTGGGTGGGGCCAGGATTTGAAGCCTGGTTTTCCATGATGGAGCCAGGATTTGAACCCTGGTTTTCCAGTGTCCTCGTTCAACACCCAAACCATTACACCACACTGGCCTTCTGTCCCTACACCCCCCAACACATCTCTTAAACACCCCAGGTTACATATGGTTTCCTAGAGAGGCCTGTGAGGCCTCCCCTCTTATTCCACCACTTTCCCCACAGGATGTAAAGGTTCTGCCTAAATCCCTACTGCCACCACATGTGGAGACTTCCACAAATCTCACCGCTACCACCAACGGGGAGGGCTTTCCCTTATCCCTACCTTTGCCGCCTATCGTAAGGACCTCCTCTTCTCCTACTCCTGTGGCCATCAATGGTGGGGGACCTACTAGATGTATGACTGGACTCAATTGTTATATACCGTATATATACATATATATATATATATATATACATACACACACACACACA